TTTATTAAGTAAAGACTTGTGTCGTCAAAGTTTCATCGGAACGAAGTTACGGAAAAATCAGTTAACAAACGGAGACGTAACACCATATTAGATAACACATAAATGCATCTTATACCCGTATTAAATAACACATAAATGCACAATCATCATTAAATTAATATATATATATATATTTGTTTTTAATGTTCTATTTTTTTTCGGAAAAGGTGCCGAATCGGTTGGCAGGGGGAGCTATGCAACACGTGTAGAACTCTGCCCGGCTGTGTACACGGTTACTGCAACAAACCGCTAGAGTGCATCTGTGAGGCAGGATGGAGAGGAATTTTCTGTCATTTACGTGAGTAAATAGCAATAAGTTATAACTGTAACACTATTTGCTAAGACTGATTGAACATATTATATATTTGAATATGTAAGGTTTTATTTCAGTATACGGTGACTAGATAATGCCTGATTTTAGAGCAGTGTCCCCGCAAGAAAGCCGATCTTGAGTGTCCCTCATTAAGCAAAATTCAGACGTAAATACCTTTTTTTTTGTTTGTATAAAAAATAATGAATTTTAAGTACATGTTTTGCTCACCATATGTCAGGAATGAAATTAATTTAATATAATTTCATTTTTATCCTGTTTTTCGAAATATCTGCATCTCAAAACTGGGTGATGTCGCTAAGGTGTGTTTCTGAATTATCTCGATAGAGGGCACTTTTCAATTTCAATTTTAATCTCTCCCTCTCTGGTTACTTTATATTACTTAATAGCTGGTCAATATTCTTATTTGTCACTGATCAAAATATGGTGTAATTACCAGCGTCAATTTTAAAAATAAGTACAAATCAAAGATTGTTTGTTTTGTTATTACGTACAAAAACTACATAATTGGCTCTCTGTGGCGTGCCCACCACATGTATCGAAACCTGGATTTTAGTGTTATAAGCCTTCAGGCTTATCGCTGAAACACTGGGGCACTAATCAAAGAACATAAATTCGCAACTGCGGCCTGTATAAAAACGACCATTAAGTGCAGAAACTTTGCTGAAATAATTACTCGAGCAGATGTTTACTGTAATAAGTAGGCCCGGCATGGCCAGGTGGTTAAGGCACTCGACTCCCAATCTGAGGGTCGCGGGTTCGAATCCCTCTCCCACCAAACATGCTTGCCCTTTCAGCCGTGGGGGCGTTATAATGTGACGGTCAATTCCACTATTCGTTGGTAAAAGAGTAGCCCAAGAGTTGGCGGTGGGTGGTGATGACTAGCTGCCTTCCCTCTAGTCTTTCACTGCTAAATTAGGGACGGCTATCGCAGATAGCCCTCGTGTAGCTTTGCGCGAAATTCAAAAACAAACAAACATACTGTAATAAGTAAAAAAAAAAAAAAAAATCCAATAATCAAAGTACTTATTTTTTCACTTTAAGTGAGAATTACGTGGATAATCAAGTTGTCTACTTTTCGTCGAAGTAAAGAGAGTAAAGAAATACTTAATACCTTTACTTAAAGTTCCTAAAAATGTCGTCCCACGATAAGTCAAGGGTAAATTTATGGATTTACAACGCTCAAATCCGGGGTTCGATTTCCTGCGATGGACACAGCAGATAGCCCAATGTGGCTTTGCTCTAAGACAAACAATAACAACCTAAAGATATCAGGGGGGGTAAATGGCTGTCAAACTAAAAATATGTACTACATAAAGGGTGGTATACAGCCGATTTTAAACATTTCAACTTTTCTATTTAACCAATTTTATATAAATTTGTTGTTGTCTTAGCATAAAGGTACATAGTGGGCTCTCTGTGCTCTGTCTACCGGAGAGAGTCAAACCCCGGATTTTAGCATTGTAAGTACGTAAACTTATCTGTGCTCTGCCCACCACGGGTATCGAAACCCGGAATCTAGCGTTGTAAGTCCGCAGACATACCGCTGGGCCACTGGGGGGGGGGGGTGCGTGACTCATAAGCGCCTTTATCAGTAACTTAACTTTTAGAAAAGTTTATTCTAATTCTTTGAAAAATAACTTTAGCTCACATTATCCGTCTTGATCATATAAATTTTTTTCTGATATGAATTCCCAGCCAATCCGGTGAAAAAAGCCAAATACGATAAAAAAACGATATATATATATATATATATATTTAAGACTTGAGATCTACAGTGACACTTTAAATACATATAATGACAGCTTTAAAATGTTTTATTTTTTTGTTTTCAGCTGTTTGTCGTGAAGGCTGTGATATTAAATATGGCTACTGCACTAAGCCTAACGAATGCAGGTACGATATCTAACTAACTTTAAATTCATTATTAACATTGTGGTTTCTAAAATGTATAGATCTGCAACATAACATTTTAATATTTCCACTCTAGTCATGTTATTTTATCTTTTCACGATACATGTAAAAAATAAGTAAATAAAACTACCAATATTACAAACATGTAATGCAAACTTCAGAACCAGGAGATTTTTTATATCTTTAGGCTTACTTGGTTCAACAAGACAATGTTATCTACGAGAGAGAGTTTCTTTCTTTCTTTTAGAACAAAGCCACATTATGCTATCTGCTGTGTATCCACTGCGGGAATCGAACTCCGGGTTTTAGCGCTGTAAATCTCCAAACTTATCTCTGAGTCACCGGGAGACAGCATCTTTAGAAACCTTGTTTGTTTGTAGTTACGCACAAAGCTATACAATTGGCTATCTGGGCTTTGCTCACCACGGGTGTCGAACCCCGAATTTTAGCGTTGTAAAGCCGTAAATGTACCACTGTCCACCAAAGAGGGGGGACATTAGAGATTTAAAAAAGTATTCGTAATAAAATGCATGACCAATTAGAAACTGCAGTATCAATTTTCGTTAAAATATTTCGATAAATTAAAAAAAAAACACGTATTAATAATACTCCCTGGTGATAAGGATACTGGTAAATATGGCACCAGTAATAACGCAAAGCTGGAAAAATGGCACCGGTAATGATGGATCTGATAGTAAAAAGAGGGTAACAAAGTTTATACTATTTTTCTTTTACTTTTGAAGAAAAACTGTACTATTGTTAGTGTACTTTATTGTTGATACATCATCTGTACTATAAAAACTGTACTAATTGTTGATACATCATCTGTACTATAAAAACTGTACTATTGTTAGTGTACTGTATTGTTGATACATCATCTGTACTATAATTAATCTCACTAATTACTGCTGAGGTTCTCTAAGTAGTTAGTCTGTTTTTTTATACTGACTTTTATAACATATAAAACATATAATTGCTCAATATAATACCAAAATGGGTCCTGGCATGGCCTGGTGGTTAGAGCACTCGACTCACAAGTTGAGGGTCGCAGGTTCGAATACCCGTCACCTAACATGCTCGCCCTTCAAGTCGTGGGGGCGTTATGATATGACAGTCAATCCCACTATTCGTTTGTAAAAGAGTAGCCCACGAGTTGGCGGAGGGTGATGTTGATTAGCTGTCTTCCCTCTAGTCTATCTATTAAGGACGGCTAGCGTAGTGTAGCCGTCGTGTAGCTTTGCGCGAAATTCAAGACAAACCAAACCAATAATGCCAAATGTGGACTCCTACGTTTGTGAACGGTATAAAAACTAGCCGGAATTTTAGGGTTAACCATTTGTTCTTATAGAAAATATATTAAAAATTGCTATCTTACCCATGAGAAAACAAAACCTATACCTATAAAGCCTATTGAGTGATTTAAAATTAAAAAAATAGTTTATTGTTTATTTTATTCTTACAGATGTCGTATAGGCTGGCAGGGAGAAAAATGTGATCAGTGTTTTCCTTATCCAGGGTGTCAGAATGGTCACTGTGTCCGTCCGTGGGAATGTAACTGTGAACCAGGATGGGGAGGCTTATTGTGTGACAAGAGTAAGTTACGTTGTAGCTAATTATTATACTTAAAAGACATATTATAAAGAAGTTACTGAAAGCCCTATACCGGAAAATTGTAGTCACATTCGAGACTAAATCTGTTGTCAAAAGAAACAAAGATTCTGGAGGATTAGGACGATAAATTAATCAAGAGTGAAAAATGGAGATTGTGCAGTTGTTTTTGTGAAACATGTGCGATCAACAGACAATAATTTTCGGTCGTAATGCAACCACGTGCGGTATTAGTTTCTTTAGCTCCAAACCGCAGTCACGAGCTGACTGTGCTCTGGGGCCTGTTCGTCATTATGAATTAGCCTTAGGATTACTGAGGTATCGAGATCCAACTTGTTTATGGGACGTGACTCTGTTGGTTACAGGATCCCAACTAACATCCGAATCACACATAATAAACATGGAAACATAAACACTGACAATATTATGATTAATTCCAATAATAACTACTGAAGTTCATGTATTTTATGTAGTAAATTAATGACTTTTTTCCCTATAATATAAAAAACATAAGTACCAGAGATAGCTGGAAAGTCAACTATTAAACAATGCATTTATTAGTATAAAAACAATACACAATGAAGATTATGCAGGTTCCCGTGTAGCCATAAGACATTTGCGTTAATATGAAATGAAGACTACAAAAGCTTCGTGTGACTGTATAAAAGTCATCTACAAAAGCTTCGTGTGACTGTATAGAAGTCATCTACAAAAGCTTCGTGTGACTGTATAGAAGTCATCTACAAAAGCTTCGTGTGACTGTATAGAAGTCATCTACAAAAGCTTCGTGTGACTGTATAAAAGTCATCTACAAAAGCTTCGTGTGACTGTATAGAAGTCATACGGAAGTTAGAGAATGGAATAAAACTATCTTACATTTACTAACAATTGATTTCGTCTTATAGAGAATTCACGGTGAGAATTCTTGAACAATCACGTGACAACTCCATTACAAGATGGCGGCGAAATCTGGCATTTTTTTTTTCTCTTCTTCAAGTTTACGTTTCGATTAATGATGGTGGGTTTAAATCCATCAGTTTTTGTTTACAAAGTCCTGAGAGAAGGCAGTCTTCAAATCTCGTCCACGAAATTAAATGAAAAATTCGACAGGACCTGCAAATTTGATCTAGAAATAATTATGTCACACACAACTCCCATTACCCAAGATGAGAAGGGCGACATTGACTTTGATTTCAGATACTGGTACAATGTGCTTAGTTCACATTTTTTGTGAACCATTTGCCATAGATTAATAAGAAGGATTGACGTTAATGTATTGTATGATGAACAGAGGGTTGAATGTATTATATTGAGACGATCCTTAAAATGCACATCAATAAGTCACGTGACAAGTAGAGCCGATATAAAGTCACGGTGGAACGGAATGTATCAGAACTACATTTTGACATTGTTTGGCATTTCGCAGTTAGTGTGATGATACCGAAAAAGTGACAGCTTTTGAGAAGAGTATGTGATAACCCTTTCCGACACAAAATATCCATACACGAAGATCATAAATATGTGTCAGATCTGGGATTTAGAATTTCCAAGACGGGAATATCCTTTGTACTTAATGCTATTGGAAAATAAAGGAATATGGATCAACTTGGAAGTCAGGATCATTCAGAAAGAGACCTTCAAGAAGTCGTACCCCAGCCATGGTAAGCAAAGTGCGTTGTCTTGTAACAGGTGAAACATACATGAATGCAAGAGTAAGTGTAAAAGGCCATCCACGTGTCCCAAAGAGGATTTTCATCGGGAAACGAAGCCATAGGGTATGGGTTTACCAAAATAAGGCTCCCAGCTGTACCTTCTGTTCAACCCTTGCATACCTCAAGCAGCTGGAGAATGAAACTGATATTCATACTATTTCATACAAGGACATGTCGATGAAGCCGTCTGTTTATTTATGTACGAGCATATTCTTGAAGTGGCTTTTGGAAACTCATTGTATTCCTACACTAGACTGGTTGTAGAAAGCATTCAGGGTAGAGGGATATGCTTTGGACGTGAGAGACTTACGACACAGCTTTTTGCAATGGAAACTACGCTGAAGGGCTATTGTCAATATGCACAGCTGTCGGACAGAGAATGACCTAAAATAAATATATAAACTAGAAAGACGTGGTAAAGCTCCAAAATCGTTTTGATATAACGTAACCAACCTCTGTAATTCCTTAATGAGTAGATTGTAGTTATCTTATGTAAACATAATTATTATTATGTATTTCCTTTGTACGAATTTATAGATATCGAGAAGTTTAATTTTTTAGCAGACAAATATAAAGCAGCAATTTCTCTTTTAACAGAATCAAACTACTGTGAAATAGAAAACCCTTGTCAAAATGGAAGCACGTGCATCAGCAAGTCCGAAGAAGATGGCCTATATTTGTGCGTTTGCCCTGGTGGTTTTACTGGAAAACACTGTGAAAATCGAACGTAACTCTAACAATATTTTTGTCTAGCTAACGAGTCAGCTTATTTAAATAGGTCAAGTTTTTTGTAACATACACACCGAGTCTTTTCTTTTCATCGGGTGATGGTAACCTCAAACTCTCGTTCTGTTAGAGTAGCTTAATTTATCGGCATTGTCCTGAAAGAAAAGAATATATTAAAGAGTGTTTCAGAATTTTGTGTTTCTTGTTGTTTTGCTTGGCAAAAATTCTTGAAAAGTAGACAATCTTGAAGAGAGGAAAAGAGATCTTATGCACACCCTAAAATAGATAAATGTTTTAGTTCTTATTAAACACTTTAAAAACGTCAAATATGTCGATGCTGATAAAGTAATAGGTTATAAACAACGGATGTTAAAGCTAAAATTAACCAGCTTGTTTTCGCTCTTTCTTACCAACATAAATATCCCCACCCCCTTGTAGTATTTGATTTTTTGCATAACTAAACATATTTTTCATTCCTTCGCCAATGCTAAGAATTATAAGACAATAAAACGTTACTGTCTTATGATTTAGCTTTTAAATTGAGTCATTCAGTGATTATTTTACGATTTTTAATAAACATAAAATGAAAAGCCTGATTCTGAGCTTATTCTATATTTGTTATCATTATTATTTAAACTTATGGAGAAAATCGGTAGACCTAAGGTCAGTTGACGTCATATAACATAATAATATGTCTCAGTAGGATTGGTCGATTCAATAAAACTGTTATCACTTAGAAAGTGTTGACTGAAATATATCAACGTTCGCACATATTAAAATATGCATACAGTTTCCTGATCTTTTAATTAATTAATCGATACCTAATATACAGAGTTTTTTATATTTCAGGTTTTGCACCCTAGATGGCAGCACAAACAAAGCTCACAGCTGTAGTGTTATTGACTGGTGTCCTTCATGTACTTAGTAATAACTTATAAAATATTCAATAAACATTTACTTTTGTAAAGTATACACCACAAGTACTGTACTATAAATGCTTCGATAGATAGAGTCTACAAATATTATTTAATGAGTAATGTAGACAAATATATAGTACCTTACTGATTTATGTCTTAAAACGAAGAAAGAAAAGAAATGGTCTAGATTATATAAAATTTTGAGACTAGCTTAACATTCTCTTAGGTTTCGGTGTCTGGTGTACTTTCGGCAAGAAGAAATAACGAAAAAACAATCTGAGTTTTAGTGATTCTACAAACCAGGTAGAGGTCTCTCGACGGCATCAGTTATAGATATTATTGGAATCTTCTCAGTTCTGGGAAGTATCATGTGTACAGAATGCAAAATTCAAAACTGTACTGTTTGTAATTCATTATTCAAAATGTTGTGAGTCTTGTTCTGGAGAAGAATTTATCAAAGACTAATATTTGAAATTAATATATATCTCGTTACAAACCAGAAAATTATAATACATAGAGGAAGCTTTCAACGTCATGGCAACAAGAGGTAGAGGTTTCAAAATAAATGTTATCCCCAATGGACGTCTTGTTCATCAATTTATTTAATATTTTATTGTAAAGAACGTGTTCTCTTCACATATTCTGGCACGCAGAGGCGTTATGCAGCTAAAATATTGGGGGCGTAGTCAGAAAACAAAATATTTTTGTTATTAATGGTAAGTTGATAATAATCATACAAATAATAAATGGGACGCATTTTACTTTTCATGTTATTTCATTTCTGCTGTTGCTTTAATTAACTTATTGATTTGAAACACAAACAAGTGTTTTGGACATATTTAATCAAATGTTTATACATAGATTTGAGATTATTATAACAGTTTATGGAAAGCATTAGGTGGAATGGGGCATGCCCACCCATTGTCTATGAGCACAACGCCATTGTTGGTATGCGAGAAGGTATTTTCAAAGTACGCTAGCCCCCATCAATGTGTCTTTACTGTCTTACAGTAATGTAATGCTAAGAAGCTACCTTTCTGTTGGATCTACTCAATAAGTGGAGAAGACATCTTAACACTGAACTTCTAAACACAGCTGTTTTGTTCATCGGATGTATAAATAACTGAAACTTAGGTTTATTATTTGCTTATGAATAAACGAAAACTATGTTTGCTGAGAATGAGGACTGATTATTGGATATTAGAGTCAACAGAATGACAGTTTTCAACTGTAAATAAGATTATCACTTGTTTCCCTACACAACACATCAAACCGTGAGGTAAATCTTAATCTTATCCTATAAGTAGCCAAGCCGCCTATTCATTCACAGCCAAAGGGACAGAATTCAATAACAACTTATAGCGATGAATTACTGCTTACTAAAGCGTGTAAAGAATAAAAAACTTCATCATAAAACATAACCTTAAACATTATAACAAAACACTGTAAATACTCTAATCCAAAATATTACACCCGCAAGGGTTGTTGTATTATATTACCCTCCAATAAAACAGTTGTGTTATTTTATTACATACACAAAAAAATAGGATTCCTTTACTTAATACGCGATGTAAGAGTGACCTTTCATTAAACAAAACGTTTTTTTTTATGTTTTACAGAGAAAGCTTCCCCTTGCTACATGTGCAGATTCACATAAAATACTTTGTTGTTCTATTTGTTGAGAAGATTTTCGAACAGCATCAATAGATTTGTCAGCGTTATGAGAAAGATCAATATGGTTGAACAGAAACCATTCACCGTACGAGAGGAACCAGCCAAAACTCAGGTGATCGGGTTGGATCTATCGTGAATTTTTCGTACCAAAGCTATAGTGTAGATGTTTGAAGGATACGAGTAGTTAAGTCTTGGTTAAATTTAGTATCTACTTTATCAAACACTCACTTTAAAATACGATAAAATGGAATTACCTATCAATTGTATTTTTTTCATAAGACATTACTATTAGGTTTAACGGTGTTAAGAATATAATAGGCTAATGTTTTATGACAGTTATAATTAACCTTAACAATTGTTGTAATAACAAGTGACTTATATAAATGGTGTTTCTACCATTACTTTGTTCGTTGTATCCTAGTCGATCTGATGAGCTCTGGTATTGAGCAAAACGCACCTTTGGCAATGGTGGACAAAGTGTGTTTGAAATATTATTATACATTCTTCTTCTTCTGGAAAACCCGAAAGGGACCTTTAAGAATTTAGTTTTAGAAACATAATGCGCATAATACTAATGTTTTATGATAACTATAGTTAATTATAATCATGTTTCAACAGTTTCGAAAAGGTGTTCACACCTTAACAATTATTAAAGTTCCTAAACATTGAAGGCATTGTTTCTCTCTCTCCAACATCTCGAAGTGTGTGATACAAATATATACTACTGGTGGTGACAACCTACAAGATATACTACTTTCAGAGCCAATATACAAGATATACTACTAGTAGTGACAACCTACAAGATACAGTGCATCTAGTGACAACCTAAAAAATATACTACTGGTGGTGACAACCTACATGATATACTGCTTTCAGAGCCAATATACAAGATATACTACTAGTAGTGACAACCTACAAGATACAGTGCATCTTGTGACAACCTACAAGATACAGTGCATCTAGTGACAACCTAAAAAATATACTACTGGTAGTAACAACATACAAGATACTCTACTAGTAGTGACAACCTACAAGATATATTGCATCTAGTGACAACCTACAAGATATAATGCATCTAGTGACAACCTACAAGATATAGTGCATCTAGTGACAACCTACAAGATATAGTGCATCTAGTGACAACCTACAAAAGATACTACTGGTAGTAACAACCTACAAGATATACTGCTTTTAATGACAAGAGATACCATGTAAGTCAGTACTTATGACTTACGACACAAAATTCAATAGTTATACCTTACATCTTGTACTGTCTGTCAGTAATAACAGTACATGGTGTAAGGCCTGATGTAAGTTATCACTACTGGACAGTACATGATGTAAGGTATCACTACTGACAGTACATGATGTAAGGTATCACTACTGACAGTACATGATGTAAGGTATCACTACTTGACAGTACATGATGTAAGGTATCACTACTGACAGTACCTGATGTAAGGTATCACTACTGACAGTACCTGATGTAAGTTATCACTACTGACAGTACATGGTGTAAGGTATCACTACTGACAGTACATGATGTAAGGTATCACTACTGACAGTGCATGATGTAAGGTATCACTACTGACAGTACCTGATGTAAGGTATCACTACTGACAGTACATGATGTAAGGTATCACTACTGACAGTACCTGATGTAAGTTATCACTACTGACAGTACATGGTGTAAGGTATCATTACTGACAGTAAATAGTGATTACATGTTATCAGTAATGATGCTAACCTTGCTGGTTATTAAAATAAAATGTTTACACACCCTTCAAATTGAAGCGATTTTAACTTTCTTTTCAAGATATTTAAAGATAACTCGGTGTTTTATAGACACTTATTACCTTCTTTCTGAACCTTGTGTAATGCCTGCTTCCGAGGAGCAGCTCGTGAAACGCCCATCATTCTTCTGAGATGAAATCCAATGCATCGTCTAGTTGTGTTCACAGAACAGACCCTGCAGCTTCAAAATGAAGGAACAAATGTTAAGGTTGTTTCTTCACCCGATAATTCGTTATTCCCCGTGAGAAACAAAACTAAAACCTCAATTAAATCTTCTAATCATAGCGTGTGGAAACTGCCCGAGGGAGCAGTTTGTCTTTTACATAGGATGATCGAACTATATGCTCTTTTTCTCTGATTGGCGTGTTCTACTACCTATTTTACATATTTTCTCTGATTGGCGTGTTCTACTACCTATTTAACATATTTTAAAACTAGGTACGGTATGATAAGCATTTAATGTAGAATTTTAATACAGATTATGTACATGATTAATTATTTTTATTTCATCATCCAATATTCCAACATTTAAAACAAGTCCCGATAGCTCTTCAAATACTTGTTGGACCATCTACTCTTAAGATAAAAACAAAAGATCAAAGAATTTCAAAAATAACTGAAATAACCACCCGAAATTCAATTCACCCAAGAAATATTGAATATTTGAAGTATGACATTCTCCTGCTAGTGTCGGGCAATGCGATCCCGTGCATCTGGTTCTCTTCCGCCCATTATTGGCCCTAAAATACCCGTTTCCTTATCTCATAGTGTGATATAACTGTTATCTTAAAAGTCTCCCAGTGTGGGATCAGCGGTAAGTTTACGGACTTACATCGCTAAGATCCGGGGTTAGATTTCCCGAGGTGAACAGAATGCATATTGTATAGCTGAAACAAATTACCTCCAAGTTGGTTAACGATATTTCGGTTTCAAAAGACGGTAACGTTATTTATTATTATTTATAAAAATAGTGAAATACATGGTCCTCTAATAACGTGAGCCACAAACGAAATGTTTAGCACATATAGTTGATT